TTATGAGAACCAGGTATACTGTGGGTTATGAGAACCAGGGTATACTGTGGGTTATGAGAACCAGGGTATACTCTGAGTTATGAGAACCAGGTATACTGTGGGTTATGAGAACCAGGTATACTGTGGGTTATGAGAACCAGGGTATACTTTGGGTTATGAGAACCAGGGCATACTCTGAGTTATGAGAACCAGGTATACTGTGGGTTATGAGAACCAGGTATACTTTGGGTTATGAGAACCAGGTATACTTTGGGTTATGAGAACCAGGTATACTGTGGGTTATGAGAACCAGGTATACTCTTGGTTATGAGAACCAGGGTATATATATATATATATATATATATATATATATATATATATATATATATATATATATATATATATATATATATATATATATATATATATATATAAATTTTAAATTCATGATCTTGCCAATAGTCAACAATACACAAGAGGTTGGCTCCGCCCACTCTCCCTAGCGACAGCGTGATTGGCTACTTGGGGAGGTATATATAGGAGGGAACCTGGCGTTAAGAATCACTCTCTTGGTGGCTGTTCTGCTGGTCACACTGCCCCCACCATGAGCCTGTGAGTACCCCCACGTCACCAACACTCACAAACCTGTTTTGAATGATTCTAATTTATATTCTTCCCTGTCTCAGGGGTTGGTTATGATGTTAGAGTAGATGATTCCTTGATTGTGTGGCGAGGGTCCAGTGTGGCGAGGGGTCCAGTGTGGCGAGGGGTCCAGTGTGGCGAGGGGTCCAGTGTGGTGAGGGGTCCAGTGTGGCGAGGGGTCCAGTGTGGCGAGGGATCCAGTGTGGCGAGGGGTCGTGTGGCGAGGGGTCCAGTGTGGTGAGGGGTCCAGTGTGGCGAGGGGTCCAGTGTGGCGAGGGGTCCAGTGTGGTGAGGGGTCCAGTGTGGCGAGGGGTCCAGTGTGGCGAGGGGTCCAGTGTGGCGAGGGGTCCAGTGTGGCGAGGGGTCCAGTGTGGCGAGGGGTCCAGTGTGGCGAGGGGTCCAGCGTGGCGAGGGGTCCAGTGTGGCGAGGGATCCAGTGTGGCGAGGGGTCCAGTGTGGCGAGGGGTCCAGTGTGGCGAGGGGTCCAGTGTGGCGAAGGGTCCAGTGTGGCGAGGGGTCCAGTGTGGCGAGGGGTCCAGTGTGGCGAGGGGTCCAGTGTGGCGAGGGATCCAGTGTGGCGAGGGATCCAGTGTGGCGAGGGGTCCAGTGTGGCGAGGGGTCCAGTGTGGCGAGGGGTCCAGTGTGGCGAGGGGTCCAGTGTGGCGAGGGGTCCAGTGTGGCGAGGGGTCCAGTGTGGCGAGGGGTCCAGTGTGGCAAGGGGTCCAGTGTGGCGAGGGATCCAGTGTGGCGAGGGATCCAGTGTGGCGAGGGGTCCAGTGTGGCGAGGGGTCCAGTGTGGCGAGGGGTCCAGTGTGGCGAGGGGTCCAGTGTGGCGAGGGGTCCAGTGTGGCGAGGGGTCCAGCGTGGCGAGGGGTTCAGTGTGGCGAGGGGTCCAGTGTGGCGAGGGGTCCAGTGTGGCGAGGGTCCAGTGTGGCGAGGGGTTCAGTGTGGCGAGGGGTCCAGTGTGGCGAGGGGTCCAGTGTGGCGAGGGGTTCAGTGTGGAGAGGGGTCAAGTGTGGCGAGGGGTCCAGTGTGGCGAGGGGTTCAGTGTGGCGAGGGGTCCAGTGTGGCGAGGGGTCCAGTGTGGCGAGGGGTCCAGTGTGGCGAGGGGTTCAGTGTGGCGAGGGGTCCAGTGTGGCGAGGGGTCCAGTGTGGCGAGGGGTCCAGTGTGGCGAGGGGTCCAGTGTGGCGAGGGGTCCAGTGTGGCGAGGGGTCCAGTGTGGCGAGGGGTCCAGTGTGGCGAGGGGTCCAGTGTGGCGAGGGGTCCAGTGTGGCGAGGGGTCCAGTGTGGCGAGGGGTCCAGTGTGGCGAGGGGTCCAGCGTGGCGAGGGGTCCAGTGTGGCGAGGGATCCAGTGTGGCGAGGGGTCCAGTGTGGCGAGGGGTCCAGTGTGGCGAGGGGTCCAGTGTGGCGAAGGGTCCAGTGTGGCGAGGGGTCCAGTGTGGCGAGGGGTCCAGTGTGGCGAGGGGTCCAGTGTGGCGAGGGATCCAGTGTGGCGAGGGATCCAGTGTGGCGAGGGGTCCAGTGTGGCGAGGGGTCCAGTGTGGCGAGGGGTCCAGTGTGGCGAGGGGTCCAGTGTGGCGAGGGGTCCAGTGTGGCGAGGGGTCCAGTGTGGCGAGGGGTCCAGTGTGGCAAGGGGTCCAGTGTGGCGAGGGATCCAGTGTGGCGAGGGATCCAGTGTGGCGAGGGGTCCAGTGTGGCGAGGGGTCCAGTGTGGCGAGGGGTCCAGTGTGGCGAGGGGTCCAGTGTGGCGAGGGGTCCAGTGTGGCGAGGGGTCCAGCGTGGCGAGGGGTTCAGTGTGGCGAGGGGTCCAGTGTGGCGAGGGGTCCAGTGTGGCGAGGGTCCAGTGTGGCGAGGGGTTCAGTGTGGCGAGGGGTCCAGTGTGGCGAGGGGTCCAGTGTGGCGAGGGGTTCAGTGTGGAGAGGGGTCAAGTGTGGCGAGGGGTCCAGTGTGGCGAGGGGTTCAGTGTGGCGAGGGGTCCAGTGTGGCGAGGGGTCCAGTGTGGCGAGGGGTCCAGTGTGGCGAGGGGTTCAGTGTGGCGAGGGGTCCAGTGTGGCGAGGGGTCCAGTGTGGCGAGGGGTCCAGTGTGGCGAGGGGTCCAGTGTGGCGAGGGGTCCAGTGTGGCGAGGGGTCCAGTGTGGCGAGGGGTCCAGTGTGGCGAGGGGTCCAGTGTGGCGAGGGGTCCCGTATTCCTATATTTTCTACACAAATACAAAAACTTTACATATTATACATTTCACATTCTTTGCCAAAACTATTTATATTTGTGACACTGAGAGGTTGAGGCGGGACCAAAGAGCCGAAGCTCAACCCCGGTGATGATGCTCCATCTCACTCTAAAGCATCATTTCTCTTCTAATACCATCATCAAATTCAATCCTTCGTCTCTTCATGTCTCTTCTAAATCTTTTATCTCCCTTGCTAATCACCTCTCACCAATTCTCCTCCGTTCCTGAATGACTGGCGAATGAAACATCTGTGGGGGAATAGACAATGTTCTTTTAACGGTATCTTTCATGCCGTTATCATGCTTTGACACTCAGAATTAGAGGAGCGAGAAATGCCACAGCCGCCCTCTATGAATGCCAGCCGAGCACTGAAGACAGATGTCGTAACTCCCGCCACCTGCACAGTCATGCTGGACACTCGTGCTCCGGGCCGCCAGGAGGGCCCACTGACCTATGATGCTCACACACCCTATGTGTGTCATCCTTAAACGTCGGACTCCTGCTTCGGACATTCTATTGTATAGATATAATTACCGACATGAAGGTAGAAATTAAATATTTTTCACCCAGAATGTGAAAATATGTTGATTGTAATTTGTACACACAATTTTTTTTTTCAAGCTGTATTGACCCCGGTGAGGGCAGCTTGACCGTGGTGAGGACAGCTTGACCGCGGTGAGGGCAGCTTGACCGCGGTGAGGGCAGCTTGACCGCGGTGAGGGCAGCTTGACCGCGGTGAGGGCAGCTTGACCGCGGTGAGGGCAGCTTGACCGCGGTGAAGGCAGCTTGACCGCGGTGAGGGCAGCTTGTCCGCGGTGAAAGCAGCTTGACCGCGGTGAAGGCAGCTTGACCGCGGTGAAGGCAGCTTGACCGCGGTGAGGGCAACTTGACCGCGGTGAGAGCAGCTTGACCGCGGTGAAGGCAGCTTGACCGCGGTGAGGGTAACTTGACCGCGGTGAGAGCAGCTTGACCGCGGTGAAGGCAGCTTGACCGCGGTGAAGGCAGCTTGACCGCGGTGAGGGCAGCTTGACCACGGTGAAGGCAGCTTGACCGCGGTGAGGGCAGCTTGACCACGGTGAAGGCAGCTTGACCGCGGTGAGGGCAGCTTGACCACGGTGAAGGCAGCTTGACCGCGGTGAGAGCAGCTTGACCGCGGTGAAGGCAGCTTGACCGCGGTGAAGGCAGCTTGACCGCGGTGAAGGCAGCTTGACCGCGGTGAAGGCAGCTTGACCGCGGTGAAGGCAGCTTGACCGCGGTGAAGGCAGCTTGACCGCGGTGAAGGCAGCTTGACCGCGGTGAGGGCAGCTTGACCGCGGTGAGGGCAGCTTGACCGCGGTGAGGGCAGCTTGACCGCGGTGAGGGCAACTTGACCGCGGTGAGAGCAGCTTGACCGCGGTGAAGGCAGCTTGACCGCGGTGAGGGTAACTTGACCGCGGTGAGAGCAGCTTGACCGCGGTGAAGGCAGCTTGACCGCGGTGAAGGCAGCTTGACCGCGGTGAGGGCAGCTTGACCACGGTGAAGGCAGCTTGACCGCGGTGAGGGCAGCTTGACCACGGTGAAGGCAGCTTGACCGCGGTGAGGGCAGCTTGACCACGGTGAAGGCAGCTTGACCGCGGTGAGAGCAGCTTGACCGCGGTGAAGGCAGCTTGACCGCGGTGAAGGCAGCTTGACCGCGGTGAAGGCAGCTTGACCGCGGTGAAGGCAGCTTGACCGCGGTGAAGGCAGCTTGACCGCGGTGAAGGCAGCTTGACCGCGGTGAGGGCAACTTGACCGCGGTGAGGGCAGCTTGACCGCGGTGAGGGCAGCTTGACCGCGGTGAGAGCAGCTTGACCGCGGTGAAGGCAGCTTGACCACGGTGAAGGCAGCTTGACCGCGGTGAGGGAAGCTTGACCACGGTGAAGGCAGCTTGACCGCGGTGAGGGCAGCTTGACCGCGGTGAGGGCAGCTTGACCGCGGTGAGGGCAGCTTAACCGCGGTGAGGGCAGCTTGACCGCGGTGAAGGCAGCTTGACCGCGGTGAGGGCAGCTTGTCCGCGGTGAAGGCAGCTTGACCGCGGTGAAGGCAGCTTGACCGCGGTGAGGGCAGCTTGACCGCGGTGAGGGCAGCTTGACCGCGGTGAAGGCAGCTTGACCGCGGTGAAGGCAGCTTGACCGCGGTGAGGGCAGCTTGACCGCGGTGAGGGCAGCTTGACCGCGGTGAGGGCAGCTTGACCGCGGTGAGGGCAGCTTGACCGCGGTGAGGGCAGCTTGACCGCGGTGAGGGCAGCTTGACCGCGGTGAGGGCAGCTTGACCGCGGTGAGGGCAGCTTGAGCTATGATTAATTTGAATGTATTTACAATTCAATTTAAATTTAGGCTTCACTAACGACCATCGGAGGGGGGGGGGGAGGTGGCCCACCTGTGGGAGGTGGTCCATGTGGCCCACCTGTGGGAGGTGGTCCATGTGGCCCACCTGTGGGAGGTGGTCCATGTGGCCCACCTGTGGGAGGTGGCCCATGTGGCCCACCTGTGGGAGGTGGCCCATGTGGCCCACCTGTGGGAGGTGGTCCATGTGGCCCACCTGTGGGAGGTGGCCCATGTGGCCCACCTGTGGGAGGTGGCCCATGTGGCCCACCTGTGGGAGGGGGTCTACGTGGCCCACCTGTGGGAGGTGGTCCATGTGGCCCACCTGTGGGAGGGGGTCCATGTGGCCCACCTGTGGGAGGTGGCCCATGTGGCCCACCTGTGGGAGGTGGTCCATGTGGCCCACCTGTGGGAGGTGGCCCATGTGGCCTACCTGTGGGAGGTGGCCCATGTGGCCCACCTGTGGGAGGTGGTCTACGTGGCCCACCTGTGGGAGGGGGTCTACGTGGCCCACCTGTGGGAGGGGGTCTACGTGGCCCACCTGTGGGAGGTGGTCTACGTGGCCCACCTGTGGGAGGTGGTCTACGTGGCCCACCTGTGGGAGGTGGTCAATGTGGCCCACCTGTGGGAGGTGGCCCATGTGACCCACCTGTGGGAGGTGGTCCATGTGGCCCACCTGTGGGAGGTGGTCAATGTGGCCCACCTGTGGGAGGTGGTCCATGTGGCCCACCTGTGGGAGGTGGTCCATGTGGCCCACCTGTGGGAGGTGGTCCATGTGGCCCACCTGTGGGAGGTGGTCAATGTGGCCCACCTGTGGGAGGTGGTCTACGTGGCCCACCTGTGGGAGGGGGTCTACGTGGCCCACCTGTGGGAGGTGGTCCATGTGACCCACCTGTGGGAGGTGGCCCATGTGACCCACCTGTGGGAAGTGGCCCATGTGACCCACCTGTGGGAGGTGGCTCTCTGACACATCCCTTCCGGCTTGTATGGGACCTTGTGTGACCTTATGGGTCCCTGTGTGACCTTATGGGACCTTGTGTGACCTTATGGGTCCCTGTGTGACCTTATGGAACCTTGTGTGACCTTATGGGACCTTGTGTGACCTTATGGGTCCCTGTGTGACCTTATGGGACCCTGTGTGACCTTATGGGACCCTGTTATCTTGAAGTTATCTTGAGATGATTTCGGGGCTTTAGTGTCCCCGCGGCCCCGGTCCTCGACCAGGCCTCCACCCCCAGGAAGCAGCCCGTGACAGCTGACTAACTCCCAGGTACCTATTTACTGCTAGGTAACAGGGGCATTCAGGGTGAAAGAAACTTTGCCCTTGTGTTTCTGCCTCGTGCGGGAATCGAACCCGCGCCACAGAATTACGATTCCTGCGCGCTATCCACCAGGCTACGAGGCCCCTGTGTGGCCTTATGGGACCCTGCATGACCTTGTAGGACCTTGTGTGACATTATGGGACCTTGTGTGACCTTATGGGACCTTGTGTGACCTTATGGGACCTTGTGTGACCTTGAAGGCCCTTGTGTAACCTTATGGGTCCCTGTGTGGTCTTATGGGTCCCTGTGTGACCTTATGGGACCCTGTGTGACCTTATGGGACCCTGTGTGACCTTATGGGTCCCTGTGTGACCTTGTAGGACCTTGTGTGACCTTATGGGACCCTGTGTGACCTTATGGGTCCCTGTGTGACCTTGAAGGACCTTGTGTGACCTTATGGGACCCTGTGTGACCTTATGGGACCCTGTGTGACCTTATGGGACCCTGTGTGACCTTGTAGGACCTTGTGTGACCTTATGGGACCTTGTGTGACCTTGTGGGACCTTGTGTGACCTTATGGGACCCTGTGTGACCTTGAAGGACCTTGTGTGACCTTATGGGACCCTGTGTGACCTTGAAGGACCTTGTGTGACCTTATGGGACCCCTGTGTGACCTTATGGGACCTTGTGTGACCTTATGGGACCTTGTGTGACCTTATGGGACCCCTGTGTGACCTTATGGGACCCTGTGTGACCTTATGGGACCTTGTGTGACCTTATGGGACCCTGTGTGACCTTATGGGACCCTGTGTGACCTTGAAGGACCTTGTGTGACCTAATGGGACCTTGTGTGACCTTATGGGACCCTGTGTGACTTTATAGGACCTTGTGTGACCTTATAGGACCTTGTGTGACCTTATGGGACTTTGTGTGACCTTATGGGACCTTGTGTGACCTTATGGGACTTTGTGTGTGACCTTATGGGACCTTGAAGGACCTTGTGTGACCTTATGGGACCCTGTGTGACCTTATGGGACACTATGTGACCTTATGGGACCCTGTGTGACCTTATGGGACCTTGTGTGACCTTATGGGTCCCTGTGTGACCTTATGGGACCCTGTGTGACCTTATGGGACCCTGTGTGACCTTGTAGGACCTTGTGTGACCTTATGGGACCTTGTGTGACCTTATGGGACCCTGTGTGACCTTGTAGGACCTTGTGTGACCTTATGGGACCTTGTGCGACCTTATGGGACCTTGTGTGACCTTATGGGACCCTGTGTGACCTTGAAGGCCCTTGTGTAACCTTATGGGACCTTGTGTGACCTTATGAGTCCCTGTGTGACCTTATGGGTCCCTGTGCGACCTTATGGGACCCTGTGTGACCTTATGGGACCCTGTGTGACCTTACGGGTCCCTGTGTGACCTTGTAGGACCTTGTGTGACTTTATGGGACCTTGTGTGACCTCATGGGACCCCGTGTGACCTTGTGGGACCTTGTGTGACCTTATGGGACCTTGTGTGACCTTATGGGACCTTGTGTGCCCTTATGGGACCTTGTGTGACCTTATGGAACCCTGTGTGCCCTTATGGGACTTTGTGTGACCTTATGGTACTTTGTGTGACCTTATGGGACCCCTGTGTGACCTTGAAGGACCTTGTGTGACCTTATGGGACCTTGTGTGACCTTATGGGACCCCTGTGTGACCTTATGGGACCCTGTGTGACCTTGCAGGACCTTGTGTGACCTTATGGGACCCCGTGTGACCTTACGGGTCCCTGTGTGACCTTATGGGACCCTGTGTGACCTTGCTTGTGTGACCTTATGGGTCCCCGTGTGACCTTATGGAACCCTGTGTGCCCTTATGGAACCTTGTGTGACCTTATGGGTCCCCGTGTGACCTTATGGGTCCCTGTGTGACCTTATGGGACCTTGCAGGACCTTGTGTGACCTTATGGGTCCCTGTGTGACCTTATGGGACCCTGTTTGACCTTGTTGTGTGACCTTATGGGACCCCGTGTGACCTTACGGGTCCCTGTGTGACCTTATGGGACCCTGTGTGACCTTAGGACCTTGTGTGACCTTATGGGACCCCGTGTGACCTTATGGAACCCTGTGTGCCCTTATGGAACCTTGTGTGACCTTATGGGTCCCCGTGTGACCTTATGGGTCCCTGTGTGACCTTATGGGTTCCTATGTGACCTTATGGGACCCTGTGTGACCTTTTAGGTCCCTGTGTGACCTTATGGGTCCCTGTGTGACCTTTTGGGTCCTTGTGTGACCTTATGGGTCCCTGTGTGACCTTATGGGACCCTGTGTGACCTTATGGGACCCTGTGTGACCTTATGGGTCCCTGTGTGACCTTATGGGACCCTGTGTGACCTTATGGGACCCTGTGTGACCTTATGGGACCTTGTGTGACCTTATGGGACCTTGTGTGACCTTATGGGACCCTGTGTGACCTTATGGGTCCCTGTGTGACCTTATGGGACCCTGTGTGACCTTATGGGTTCTTGTGTGACCTTATGGAACCCTGTGTGACCTTATGGGACCTTGTGTGACCTTATGAGACCCTATGTGACCTTATGGGTCCCTGTGTGACCTTATGGGTCCCTGTGTGACCTTTTGGGACCTTGTGTGACCTTATGGGACCCTGTGTGACTTTATGGGATCCTGTGTGACCTTATGGGTCCCTGTGTGACCTTATGGGACCCTGTGTGACCTTATGGGATCCTTTGTGACCTTATGGGATCTTGTGTGACCTTATGGGACCTTGTGTGACCTTATGGGACTCTGTGTGACCTTATGGGTCCCCTGTGTGACCTTATGGGTCCATGTGTGACCTTATGGGACATTGAGTGACTTTATGGGATACTGTGTGACCCTGAGTGACCTTATGGGTTCTTGTGTGACCTTATGGGACCTTGTGTGACCTTATGGGACTCTGTGTGACCTTATGGGACTCTGTGTGACCTTATGGGTCCCTGTGTGACCTTATGGGTCCCTGTGTGACCTTATGAGCCCCTGTGTGACTTTATGGGATCCTGTGTGACGTTATGGGACCCTGTGTGACCTTATGGGACCCTGTGTGACCTTATGGGTTCCCTGTGTGACCTTATAGGTTCTTGTGTTACCTTATGGGACCTTGTGTGAACTTGTAGGACCTTATGGGATCTTGTGTGACCCTGTGTGACCTTATGGGATCTTGTGTGATCTTATGGGACCTTCTGTGACCTCTGGGACCCCTGTGTGACCTTGTGTGACCTTATGGGACATTATGTGACCTTGAGCTGAATAAAAAAACACATCAGCGTACTCCCAAACACTCGCCTTAGACCACTATTACAACCTAGAGGATTCAGCTGAATCCTTTAGGGTTCCATAGGCTCATACTGAAGCTTAACTTGGATTTCCCACATTGCCCCCTCCCCCCCTCCCCCCTCGTGGACTCTGGCCTGTAGTCTAGGAATTGTGTAACTATTGTTTGGCGCACCTGTATGGTGAATCATCTCTTGCGTGTTTATTTACTATTTGTATTTACTACTAGCTGTACCCGGCCACGCGTTGCTGTGGTTTAGGGACGCATGTGCGTTGCTGAGCCACAACGATCTCCCCCTGTCTCGCAGTCCTCCCCCACAATTCCCCTCTTCCCTGTACCCTCGTCCTCTCAACCATTCCTCCCACCTCCGGCCCTTTGTCCTCCCCCACCATAGAGGCCTGGTCGACGACCGGGCCGCGGGGACACTAAGCCCCGGAAGCACCTCAAGGTCCTCAAGGTAGGTAGGTAGCCCACTCTAGCGTCCCCTCGTCTTCCTAACCATCCCCACTCCCTCGTCCTATGCATTCCCAAATGATCTGATGTTCATATCAGAAAATTGGGAACATCAAATGAACTGATGTTCCCATCACTGAAATATAAGAAAAACAGTTAAATAAACGAAATGAAAAACATGACAAAATAAAACAATAAACTATATTCACGAAATGAACGGTATGGTAAACAACACAACTCAATTCCATCGCAGTGTTACACAAAATAATTAAATCAAAATGAAAATATATCGAAATCTATGAAAATTCAATTTGTCAATGCAATCGGAAACATTGAACTGGAATCGTAACATATTTAGCATAGCGTGTGTTGCTCTTACGTGCAACTGACCTAACCTTTCTTAGACTTGACCTAAGGTCAGGTCTACTATAATTACTGAAGATGTTGTTATTCTATCATTTTTTTGTTTACCAATTGTGTTGTATATTACAGCTGTGTGATAGATGCTTCTGTATCTTTCAGACGAGAGATGAATCTGGTGGCGACGGTGATGCTGTTGTGTCTGGCGTCGTGCACCTCTGGCCAGAGGTTCCTGAGTAGCTTGAGCTCTCTGGGAGCCGGAACCAACGAGGCGACGGAGGAGCTGGTGCGGGTCCTGCAGCCTGATAACATCCCACGCTTCGTGGGCTGCCTGCTGCGGGAAGCCGGGTACGAGGGCTGCGACAAGAGGGGCGACGCCATCCGAGGTGAGTGTACCAGCGGTGTGTGTGTGTGTTGGGGGGGGGGGGGCCCGCTAACCTCCTCTTCCTCTCCGCTAACATCAATCCATTAAAAATGTGACTTGTAGCGCTGTAATATTGACGATTTCCATGGGTTAGCCTCTGTAGGTTAGGTGGGGTGCTTGGGTTCCTACCTGTCTGGTTAGACAAAACTGTTGCATTTTCTTTTTTACGGATTTGCAAAGAGAGAGACCGGGCCGTCTTGGGTAAGGTTCCCCGCCGGAACTGACCAATCACGTGCGCTTCACACTAGGCATGGTAAAAGTGTCAGCAATACAAGTTACGTGCATCATCATCATGATGTAATATTAACTTTTCCAAGATCAAGAAAAAGCTGTTTATTTCCTGCCTTTCATAAGGCTATTTGAGGTGAAAGCGAGGTGATGGCAGAGCCTTTCACTACTTTCTATTTCTTGACAACATTTCGCTATAATGTTCCTTTGTTTTGCTAACACTTGACTTTTTGAAAGACACACTGGTTGCCACCCGTCCTTGTCGCTTAATGCTTAAGCTTAATGCTTAAAGGAGTCAGCCAGTCGACCACAGTGTCAACATGTCGGGGCTTCCGTCAACATGATCAAATAATGTGAACTTGACGCTATCCCGAGCATCAGCAGTGACATGCTAGATGGGATGCTTAGCCTCCCACTCTTAGTGGCTCAGCAGACAGCCTCAGGGGGCACTGCAGGCATCTCAGGGGCTCAATAGACATCCTCAGGGGCTCAATAAACATCCTCAGGGGCTCAATAAACATCCTCAGGGGCTCAATAAACATCCTCAGGGAACCCTAACAGGAAGGATTACAACTGAAAGAGCCTGCAATATTAGGACCTAAATAACCTGCAACTTTTCTCAGCAACATGGCTAATAAAGCTCATTACCAAAAAGTGCAAAGTAATGAAGTTTGGCAGTGGAAATATGAAGTCAGAAGGATGATATACAATACAAGGATTCCTACTGAAAGCCAGATGAAAAAGCATCCGGGAGTGGAACCTTGGCTTAACATCAGACATCTTTTAATGCATCTAACTTTACAACTTTCATGTCGTTCCGCTGATTTACGAGTGGAACATGGACTTTGGGTCTTTGTTTGGAGGACGGGCTGCACAGGCAGTCCGTTCCCTAAACAAAGACCCAAAAGTGATTCCATGCACCCGCCAAACCCGCTATATATGAATGAAAACCGGTTTACACGACTCACAACTGATGACGTAGAACACCTGGCGGACTTGAGTCGAGGACAGGACTGACACAGGAGAGGGGAACACCTCGGCCCATGCTCCAACAGGCAAACATTGTGTCTGCAAGTAAACCGAAGTAGCAAAACATGGAATACGGAGAACATAGAACAAATGGAAATTACTATGTACATAATGAGGCCACGAATGAATACACAGAAACTAAGAGAGTGGCAGAGAAACATTACGGAAATGATATTGCAAACATGGTTATGTCCGAGCCAAAAGTGTTCCGTAGTCATATCAGTAGTACGATATGACTAATGAATATAGTCATATCTTGTGAAGTGAAGGCAAGACTTACACATTAATATGCATCCCCAGCATGGAACTCCTCATGAAAAAGGACGAGGAAACGATCCAAAGATATGCAGCGAGACTCGTCCCCATGCTGAAGGACTTGAGCCATGAGGAAGACAGAACTGGATCTTACCTCACTGGAAGAAAGGAGAGATAGACTCTTATATATTATCATATCCTCCATAAGTAAAATTACCAATGTAGACAAATTAACAATGTTCGAAGATAAGACCAGCAGACCGAGGGGTCATGGATGGGAACTAGAGAATTGGGGGTGTCCCGCCTTATTCTTGTGTACACTATAGTTCCCAAGTGGTCAGGATTATTCGAGTGTCAGGCCAGGATCCTTGTACCGTTCAATTGTTCCCTACACCTGTCCTGGTAGGTTATTCCATCTGCAAGACCTACGAATCTCACTCCGGTCCCCTGTCCGGTAACTCAGGGTGGTGGCAGCGTCACTCGGTAACTCATACGATAGGTTGTGACTACGATTATCTCTATCTTTCTGTCTCACTCTCCCTCACTAGTGTCTCACTCTCCCTCGCCCTCACTCGCTCTCGTTCTCCCTCCCTTGCTCTCGTTCTCGCTCTGCCTCCCTCTTCCTCTCTCTCTCTCCTTCCTCTGTGTACTGGTTTACAGACGAGTCACAGGGACGTTATTACAGAAAGAATTGCACGGTTTGCAGTGTTAGAGCCGTTAATAAGAGGAACAGTTAGACGTAGAAGTCCTTGAAGCTAATTCGAGTTAAAGTTATAAATGTAAATATGATAAAAGAGTGAGGAATGAGTCATTGCATTAATGTAAGAACGTTCGGAAGGCGGTGCTTGGGTCGGTGAAGCAAGCACATCTAGGTGAGAGCATACACAAACACACACAGTTCACCGTTATTAACAACTTTCTTCCCTTTCTCCTGCAGTGCTGATAACGGTGTTAGACAGCCAGGACTTCGCATGCAGCAACTGCAGTAATAGTACCATCGACCAGATGTGCCTGATCAAGAACAGCCTCGTGGTGATCCCTGAACAGTGCAGGAAGCTGAAGGAGGGCCTGAAGCTCATCAATGACATCTGCGTCCCGGGTATGGGATGTGAGAATGTCCCTCCTGCCGGACAAAGGTTGCTTCAGGGCAACTAGACACAGCAGTGAGGGCTGGCCCAGACTGGCTCGCAAGGAACGATCACCATCTCAGCAGATAACGGAGCATGAAGGTTATGCTCTCTAGTTCAGTTGCTTGCCAGGTTATGTGACCTTTTCCGAGCCGCCATTTGCAAGAGATGTGCGCGTGCGCACCTGGACCGCCTCAAGCGAGTTCCCGCCAAACAGCCGCCCATCCAGTGGCTGTCCTCGCCCGACACCCACACCCTCAACACCTCCCTGTTCTGCCGGCGTCACACCCTTGTGTGTTTGCTGGCTGGCTCTCATCGTCTCCTTCCTCTACATTCCGTTCTGTCCAAGCCAACTTCCCGTCATAAAAACGAAGATTTTTGAGGATATTGTGATGAAAATTGAGCAACAGTGTTATGGACAAAAAAATAAAAAAATAAAAAAAAAGTCGTTCTCTCTATTGTAATTTCTTTACTCTGAAAATTGAATCAGAAAATTTTCAAAGTATGAATGACTACCTAAGCTAGACTTAATTTTTGTTGCCTCCACATTGCCATTGATGTTGATGAAATAATTATGTTAAAACTCGAAACAATGACAATGGCAACTGAAAATATTAGAAACAAAATGTAAATTTAGAATAATCGAATTTTCCTCAATTCGTCTTTAGTCTGAGAATAAAACTTTAATAAAACTCATCGTTGTCACTAAGTTTTCCTTCACTGAAAGTTCCTTCACCTCCAAAGTTCACGCTGAAAATGACAAATATTTAATTACTTTGGTTTCAACATTACAATTCCTACTTATCGTCCACATCCACAAAGATTTCACTCCCAACACACCTCTTACCTATAAGACTTGAATGATACCGGGTGCTACACTTAGTGTATACTACACCCTCACACCTTTGTCAACACCAGCTACACCCTCTCACCTTTCACAGCAACAACGGCATATACTCCCACACACCAATTTCCCGCCTATTAAGACAAATCTTCAGATAACTTTCTTACGCAGAGACCTAAATACCCCCCTTAAACACCCTTAAACACCATTAAAAACCACTTAAATGCCACTTAAATGCCCTCACACATCTCGCCCAACTTATAAAGTGCAAGGCCTAAATCAACACTTTTCTTCATTCTAAAACCCTTCTCCACTTTATATAATAAGCAACACCTGAGAATCTATTAGAATCAAAGGCTGATCTTTTGTTTTTATTTAATATAGTGTAAGATACGAGAACGCCCTCGCAGCGTGTCCAAGCTCGTACACTGTTTAATATAGTGTAAGATACGAGAACGCCCTCGCAGCGTGTCCAAGCTCGTACACTGTTTAATATAGTGTAAGATACGAGAACGCCCTCGCAGCGTGTCCAAGCTCGTGCACTGTTTACTAAGTACAAAGCCGCCTTTAGGACGAAAGATGTACAGGTTTCGTAAGTGTGCATGGAAATGAATCCTGGGTTAGAGGCATTTGATGAGGTTTACATAAGTAAGAGTTGGCGCTCAAAGCCTCATCTTAATGGCCTGAGCCCCTGAGCAAGTTATTATTAAATTATGGACAAAACTGAACAAATAAATTGTCCATAAATAAATTATGGACAAAATGACTGTATTAAAGTATGTTTGGCTGCTTAAGATTCCTCATAACATAGAGAACATTCAAGTGAACAACCAGTAAATATACAATATATTTAATTTAAAACAACCAAAATACAATATACACAAATACAAGAAAAAAGTAATTTATTTTCAATGTATGACTACTGTATGACGGGTAAACTTGCAAGGAAACTTTACCACTACACCAAAGTTTACTTTGAAATCTTTAATTCTGCCCATCACCAGGACCTAACACACAATGTTTAACTAACTCCCGGGGACCTATTTTACTGCTTGGTGAATAGTTGCATCAGGTGAAAGGAAACGTGCCCAACCGGTTTTGTTTCGCCCGGTGCTTGAACCCGGGTCCATCGGTTGTGAATCAAAGACGTAGACCATTGTGTTACAGGAAACATTTAAGATATATCAGACAAAATATAACAGTAATGGATCTTAGTCATTATACAATTGTGGCGTTAATGAGTATCCTGCCACCCAACCACAGTGTCCTGCCACCCAACCACAGTGTCCTGCCACCCAACCACAGTGTCCTGCCACCCAACCACAGTGTCCTGCCACCCAACCACAGTGTCCTGCCACCCAACCACAGTGTCCTGCCACCCAACCACAGTCTGGGGCTCCTGCCACCCAACCACAGAGGAGACAGGCTTGAACATAAATTATCAGTTTTGTAAACATTGCTCGCAGGTGTCTGGGCTCCATAGACGCGCCTTGTCCCCCTTCTCTTTAGCTGGAGAGAGCTGACTCAATCTTCAGGAATTCATGTAGCTTTCCACGACAGATCAGTGACGGTGATTGGCCTGAGATAAGGGCCAAGTCCTTATTGGCCCTAGAGAGCCAGACCTCAGGCCTACGTGTTAAATGGTTGGCCAGTGCCAAAATAATGGGTGGAGCCTGGGGCTGTATTAGATGGTGGGAGGAGTAATCCTTCCCAGCAATAAGTTGGAAAAACTAAATTTCATCAGTGTGTCTTGGGAGTGTATTAGGAACAGGGCCGCAAGCCCGTATCCTCGGGGCTGAGGGCAGCCATCAACATCGTGGCCGTAGTGCGGGTATTTAAGGTAGAGTAGCACTTGAGTTTTTGTGTCCTCGGTAAATATCCATTGTGCCTCTGGGAAAATAGAATAGGTGATGTGTTCAAATTGTCTTAATTTACATGTTTCATAAAATAAATTGTATAGCTTGTCCAGTGGTATTCACTTAACTCCCCTTTGATATATTTTGCTACTTTGTCATTTTTAGGTGTTGTATTGGAAGCCCCCAGGTTCTCCTACTATTAATCGATACTAAAGTTGCCCTTGGATTCAAATAAGTAACGTAAATTACACAAACTAATTTTCCAAAATTTATTTCTGAAATTCATATTACCCGGAGTCCCATGGTGACTGATTCCTTGCCTTCCTGGGGGATCGGTGATAGACACATTCAGGTATGGTTGGTCGGGAAGGTGGTGGCAGTGTAAATGTGTTTTGTTATTGTTTTTTTTTTAACTAATAACCCTTGTCCTTGGTGTATCTTCCTCATTTAATATTCCTCTTACATACGTGGCAGTCCAGTGAGGGGTCATGCTGGACTGTAACAGTGTTAAGCTGGGGTATTGAGTGAAGAGACAGAGATGTGCAACAGAGAGCGTATATTACACCACCCAAGTGTCCTGCCACCCAACCACAGTGTCCTGCCACCCAACCACAGTGTCCAGCCACCCAACCACAGTGTCCTGCCACCCAACCACAGTGTCCTGCCACCCAACCACAGTGTCCTGCCACCCAACCACAGTGTCCTGCCACCCAACCACAGTGTCCTGCCACCCAACCACAGTGTCCTGCCACCCAACCACAGTGTCCTGCCACCCAACCACAGTGTCCCGCCACCCAACCACAGTGTCCTGCCACCCAACCACAGTGTCCTGCCACCCAACCACAGTGTCCTGCCACCCAACCACAGTGTCCCTGCCACCCAACCACAGTGTCCTGCCACCCAACCACAGTGTCCTGCCACCCAACCACAGTGTCCTGCCACCCAACCACAGTGTCCTGCCACCCAACCACAGTGTCCTGCCACCCAACCACAGTGTCCCGCCACCCAACCACAGTGTCCTGCCACCCAACCACAGTGTCCCGCCACCCAACCACAGTGTCCTGCCACCCAACCACAGTGTCCCACCACCCAACCACAGTGTCCCACCACCCAACCACAGTGTCCTGCCACCCAACCACAGTGTCCTGCCACCCAACCACAGTGTCCTGCCACCACAACCCACAGTGTCCTGCCACCCAACCACAGTGTCCTGCCACCCAACCCAGTGTCCTGCCACCCAACACAGTGTCCCCACCCAACCACAGTGTCCTGCCACCCAACCACAGTGTCCTGCCACCCAACCACAGTGTCCTGCCACCCAACCACAGTGTCCCACCACCCAACCACAGTGTCCCACCACCCAACCACAGTGCCACCCAACCACAGTGTCCTGCCACCCAACCACAGTGTCCCACCACCCAACCACAGTGTCCTGCCACCCAACCACAGTGTCCCACCACCCAACCACAGTGTCCCCACCCACCACCCAACCACAGTGTCCTGCCACCCAACCACAGTGTCCTGCCACCCAACCACAGTGTCCTGCCACCCAACCACAGTGTCCTGCCACCCAACCACAGTGTCCTGCCACCCAACCACAGTGTCCTGCCACCCAACCACAGTGTCCTGCCACCCAACCACAGTGTCCTGCCACCCAACCACAGTGTCCTGCCACCCAACCACAGTGTCCTGCCCACACCAACCACAGTGTCCTGCCACCCAACCACAGTGTCCTGCCACCCAACCACAGTGTGTCCTGCCACCCAACCACAGTGTCCTGCCACCCAACCACAGTGTCCTGCCACCCAACCACAACCAACCACAGTGTCCTGCCACCCAACCACAGTGTCCTGCCACCCAACCACAGTGTCCTGCCACCCAACCACAGTGTCCTGCCACCCAACCACAGTGTCCTGCCACCCCAACCACCTGCCACCCAACCACAGTGTCCCTGCCACCCAACCACAGTGTCCACCCAACCACAGTGTCCTGCCACCCAACCACAGTGTCCTGCCACCCAACCACAGTGTCCTGCCACCCAACCACAGTGTCCTGCCACCCAACCACAGTGTCCTGCCACCCAACCACAGTGTCCTGCCACCCAACCACAGTGTCCTGCCACCCAACCACAGTGTGTCCTGCCACCCAACCACAGTGTCTTGCCACCCAACCACAGTGTGTACTGCCACCCAACTACAGTGTCCCACCACCCAACCACAGTGTCCCGCCACCCAACCACAGTGTGTCCAGCCACCCAACCACAGTGTCCCGCCACCCAACCACAGTGTCCTGCCACCCAACCACAGTGTGTCCACCACCCAACCACAGTGTGTCCAGCCACCCAACCACAGTGTGTCCAGCCACCCAACCACAGTGTCCCACCACCCAACCACAGTGTGTCCCACCACCCAACCACAGTGTCCCGCCACCCAACCACAGTGTCCTGCCACCCAACCACAGTGTCCCGCCACCCAACCACAGTGTCCTGTCACCCAACCACAGTGTCCTGTCCCGCCACCCAACCACAGTGTCCTGCCACCCAACCACAGTGTCCCACCACCCAACTACAGTGTGTCCCACCACCCAACCACAGTGTGTCCCGCCACCCAACCACAGTGTGTCCTGCCACCCAACCACAGTGTGTCCTGCCACCCAACCACAGTGTGTCCCGCCGCCCAACCACAGTGTCCCACCACCCAACCACAGTGTGTCCTGCCACCCAACCACAGTGTGTCCTGCCACCCAACCACAGTGTGTCCCGCCACCCAACCACAGTGTCCCACCACCCAACCACAGTGTGTCCTGCCACCCAACCACAGTGTCCTGCCACCCAACCACAGTGTGTCCCGCCACCCAACCACAGTGTCCTGCCACCCAACCACAGTGTCCCACCACCCAACCACAGTGTCCCACCACCCAACCACAGTGTCCCACCACCCAACCACAGTGTCCCACCACCCAACCACAGTGTCCTGCCACCCAACCACAGTGTCCTG